CCCGCGTCTCCTGCATCGGCAGGCGGACTCTCAAGCACTGCGCCACCAGGGAAGCCCACTGTTGTTTTTTTTAAAGACTTATTTTTATTTATTTTCTTTCTTCTTTTCTTTTGGCTGCATCAGGTCTTAGCTGCGGCACGCAGGATCTTCGTTGTGGTGCACAGGCTCTGTAGTTGTGGTGCGTGGGCTCTGTAGTTTTGCGGCACGCAGTCTCTCTAGTTGAGGCACACGAACTCGGTAGTTGTGGCGTGCAGGCTTAGTTGCCCCACGGCACGTGGGAGCTTAGTTCCCCCACGGCACGTGGGAGCTTAGTTCCCCGACCAGGGATCGAACCTGCGTCCCCTGCATTGGAAGGTGGGTTCTTTACCACTGGCCCACAAGGGAAGTCCCAAGACCATTGTTTTTTTTTTTTCTGTTTTTTTTTTTAAAGTTATTTATTTATTTTTGGCTGCGTTGGGTCTTCGTTGGTGCGTGCGGGCTTTCTGTAGTTGCGGCGAGCAGGGGCTACTCTTCCTTGTGGTGCGCGGGCTTCTCATTGTGGTGGCTTCTCTTGTTGCGGAGCATGGGTTCTAGGCACGCGGGCTTCAGTAGTTGTGGCTTGCGGCCTCTAGAGCTCAGGCTCAGTGGTTGTGGAGCACGGGCTTAGTTGCTCTGCGACATGTGGGTTCTTCCCGGACCAGGGCTCGAACCCGTGTCCCCTCCATTGGCAAGCGGATTCTTAACCACTGTGCCACCAGGGAAGTCCACCATTGTTTTTTGAAGAGGTTTTTCTAAGTTCAGTGGATGGACATAATGAAGGGGAGAATGTAAAAACCCAAACTGTTCTCCACAAAAGATGCTCAGAGTGGAAGGAAGTTTTGCCCCTGCACTTGGTTCTCGCCCCTGAGTGGAAGAGCTGAGATCCAGAGAGAGTTGAGACCAGGGACTCTCAGGGCATGGGGACTCTGACAGAACTCTAGAAGGCCAGCTGGCTGAGGTGGGGCCAGGGGAAGGCCAGGGTGCCTGGGGTCCAGTCGTTTGCTGACTGTGTGATCTTAGACAAGTCACTCAGCCTTCAGAGTTATACATTCATCACCTGCAAAATGGCTCACTATCCTTACCTCAAGACCTGCCAACCTCCTGGGCAACTTTATATGTCCCCTCGGGCAACCCAGCCAACATCGAGGTCTTACAAGAGTTTTGCATCCACAAAGATCAAGTCCAATAACTCTTACCCCTGCTCTGCTTCAGATGCCCACAGCCTTGGTATTGTCACTGTGAAGCTGCTCTACCTCTAAAAGCTAAAATTGCAATATCCCTTATCACTTGTTCCTTCTGTTACTCCCATCATCTCACTGAGATCTGCAGTGCCTTCAGCCCCTCCATTTCTCCCAATTATTGGCCCTCTTATTGCCTTCTCCTTCGTCATTCAGGCTAGATGCCCGAGCTCGTCCCTTTAAGCCCTTGCTGGTCGAATCCTCAGTTCCTTTGCACTCCTGTTCTTCACTGCACTCATGCCACAGACTCCCAGGTTTCAGCTCATCAGCCATCTGTCTCTGCTGCTGACACCCACCTGCTGAGCTGCTGCGGGAGGGCTTCCTTGTGATGTCAGCTTGTTCTGTATCATCCTCCTAACCGCCTTCCTCATTCTCCTCATCCCCTTTTGGAGCCCCCTCTTTATTCAAGCTTCTTACCCAGGGGCGTGCCGCTGGCTCTCGGAAAACAAACAAAAAAAAGCGTTTGTCAGTTTCCATGGTGGAGATACTTTCACCATGGCTCCCATTTTAGTGGCTGTGTGTCTCACAACCCCTCACACAATTCCTGATAATACTTCACAACTCGCTTTCCTTTCCTAACCCTACGTGAATTTTCAGCAGATGATTCCCCTCTTACTTTACCGAGTGAACAGAGGCCATCAGGTGGGGCTCACTCAACTTCTTGGCCCTTTAAGTAGAACTTTTTCACCCATTTTTGCTGCGTTTCCTCTCTCTTCCTTCCACATGTAACCCCTACCCCACCACCACCACCATTTCTGGATTCCGTGGCCTCCCATCTCTTCGGGAAATGGCATTCTTTCAGTTCTCCTGGCTTCCTCCTGTCCTCAGGCTATAAGCATGGTTGCGTTTCTTCAATGCTTAAAAACCTGGAAACAACAATAAACACTTCTTTAGATCACCTTGTGATCTGATCTCCCTTCCTTCACAGCCAAGCTTCATGGAAATGTTTTCCAGGATCTTAGTTTCCTCCTCCTGACTTTTCCTTCCCTTCTCATCCCACTGCGACTAGACTTTGCTGTGTCGGCACCTCTCCACTAAAAGCGCTGGGACGGCATTCAGCATCGACTTTTCTGTTGCTCCGAGTCCTTATCTTGCTAGACCTCCTTGCTGCTTTAGGCCATGCTGACTGCTTCATCCTTTTGAAAGCTCTTGGCTTCTTGTTTCTGGGGCAGCATCCTCCTTTCTGTGTGTCCGTGTTCTCCAAGGACTCAGCCAACTCAGACGCCCTGCAGGTTATCTCAGAGCCACCAATACTGCAACTTGAGCTCAAAACCCGGGCTCTAAGACTTCTGGTGTGAAGGTTGGTGGTGTAAGGAACCAAGGAGGAGCCAACGTTGGGGAGGAAAATGATGTTGAACAAATTGAACCTCAGATCTTCCGCTTACTAGCTGTGTGACGTTAGACGCATCATTTCACCTTTCTGTGCGTCAATTTCCTTATGTGTTAATTGGGGGTAATAATTGGTTGTAGAGGTTGACTGAGTTAACACATTTGTTTAGGACTCACTCGTGTCAGATGTTACTAACTGGTCACCAATGTCAATTACTATTACTATTACTACAATATCTCCATGCATTTTCTTCCTCTCTTCCTACGGTTACTGCCTCCTTTCATCACTTCTTACGCTGATTACTGCAGTAACTTCCTGCCTTCAAAGACGAATCTCTCCAATCCATTCTCTGTATTTTAAAAATTCACATATGACTGCATGACTCTCCTGTTAAAATAAACCCCAAAACAAGCATTGTGATTGGTTTATTAGGGCCCGGCCTTGTTTCCACGATCCACCTCTCCAGTCTCATCTCCCACCCACCCTGTCTGTACTTTCCAGCCACTTCAGGCTTCCTGAGGGTTTGTGCACTGAGCCATGCTATTTCATTCCTATCTTTGCACATGCCGTTCCTTCTGGCTGAAACCTTTCCTCCCTTCCTTTTCTTACCCAGTTCAGGCAGCACCTCCTTGAGGAAGCCTGCTTGGGTCTGTAGGAGACCATGGCCAAGTGAGTGAGTGGGGCAACCCTATACTCATACCCTGATCCACACTGAGCCTTCCTCTGCTTCTCTTTGAACTGTTTTTAGGACCCACCTCCCTTGAGCCCCATGTTTGCAGGAGTCTCTAATGTTACAGGGAAACCGAGGGCCCCACAGTGACAAGACTTGTTTTCCTACAGCAGCTGAACCCTTCATCCCCTCCCAAGGAGACCCAGCTCGGACTGCAGGGTGTGACAGACACATGGATGTCCATGGCCGGTTAGACGTCATAGAGGAGGTAATGAGGGTGACCTGAGAGGGCATGCAGCTTCAGGACCACCTGCCAGGCTGGTGGCTTTGGAGGGTTCAGGCCAATCTTGCTTTGGCAAGTTGGGGAAATCTGGGCCAATCCTGTTCCCTGGCCACTATGTTAAACATCTCCCTGCCCTACCGGGGCTGTTAGGCTGTCCAGCCCCCAACAGACCCTGCCTCCCCGGGACCTTGCTTCCCACCAGTCAGAGATCTCCCCATAATCACCGGATGAGAAGGTGGAAATTCAATTGCAGTGTTTTGTTACACAGCCATGGTTTGTAACCTGGGGTCCATAAACTTGTGTGGGGGAAAAAAATTGCACTTCATTTTCACAAACGTTTAGCTGAGATTTAGCATTCTCATTCACTATAAATACAGACAACAAACTGCAGGAGTATTAACAGTACTGTGACTTTGTTAGCAATAGAAATCACAGATAATTTCATCCCATTATAGTCATTGTGAATATCACTTGTTTTCCTACAGCTGCTGAACCCTTCATCCCCTCCCAAGGAGACCCAGCTCGGACTGCAGGGTGTGACAGACACATGGATGTCCATGGCCGGTTAGACGTCATAGAGGAGGTAATGAGGGTGACCTGAGAGGGCATGCAGCTTCAGGACCACCTGCCAGGCTGGTGGCTTTGGAGGGTTCAGGCCAATCTTGCTTTGGCAAGTTGGGGAAATCTGGGCCAATCCTGTTCCCTGGCCACTATGTTAAACATCTCCCTGCCCTACCGGGGCTGTTAGGCTGTCCAGCCCCCAACAGACCCTGCCTCCCCGGGACCTTGCTTCCCACCAGTCAGAGATCTCCCCATAATCACCGGATGAGAAGGTGGAAATTCAATTGCAGTGTTTTGTTACACAGCCATGGTTTGTAACCTGGGGTCCATAAACTTGTGTGGGGGAAAAAAATTGCACTTCATTTTCACAAACGTTTAGCTGAGATTTAGCATTCTCATTCACTATAAATACAGACAACAAACTGCAGGAGTATTAACAGTACTGTGACTTTGTTAGCAATAGAAATCACAGATAATTTCATCCCATTATAGTCATTGTGAATATCTCAATATATTGTTTACTATCAGTATGTCAAAATTTCAGTAGTAAAAAAAAAAAAAGAAAAAAATTTCAGTAGTTGTTAGACCTGGTGTTGCTTAAATAAGTTAATAAATACATAAATATTTATATCAAAATTTAATTTTTAATACTTTAATAATATTTTACTGCAGTTTATACCCTTGGAAATCCTGTATGTTTTATTTTTCTCAATGAAAGCATTTTTCTGATGGCGGTCTGTAGGTTTCACCAGACTGCTAATGGGGTTCATTTGCGAAAAAAGTTAAGAACCCTGAATAAAGAAAATTTCAAAATCCCAATACTGTCATTTGGCAGAATTGCCACCAGGGGGCGGGGTAACAAAAGGAATGTGAGCTCCCAGTGGTGACATCCTGAAAGGGAAAAAAGAATCCCAGAGTCCCTCCAAGCCCCAAACCAATGACTGGGTAAAAACCCCTGAGTGCCAGAGCCAGGAGCAAGCAGCCTTAGAGAGTGAGCTCCTAGGATTTTGTTATCTGGGGAGCTGAGAGGCAGGCAAGGACAGGGCCTGAACCAAGAGGACCCAGGTCCCCTGGCACCCAGTTCTCTCCCCGCTGCACCCTACTGGACTTCCAGGTGCTCCTTAGGATGTGGCTGATTAAGTGGGACTTGTCACCACTCTTGTCCTCTACTCCTCCCCCAACTTCTCTCCTTGCTCTAGACAGTGGAGAAGACGGTGGAGCACCTGGAGGCAGAAGTGAAAGGCTTGCTGGCTCAGCTGGAGGAGCTGGCCTGGAATCTGACACCGGGCCCCTTCAGCCTGATCCCCGACCTCCTCGCAGAGGAGACGGTGAGCAGCTCAGGTAGCAGAGATGACAGCCTCCAGGGCTGGGCAGCAGGGTGGGGACGGCTGCTCCACCCCCACGGTGTAGCCTGGACAAGCCAGGGAGGCTCCAGCTCCTCCTTGGGACAGAAGTGGGAGGCATCCTCTGGGCTCACCCCAAGTGTTCTCTGCCCCCACGCCCGGGGTTGCTGCAGCCCAGCATCGGGTAAGGGCACCTGGAAGAGTTCCACTCTCAGCACCACCCTGACTCAGGGCGGCTGCCTCCTTCCCTGGCCATTTACACACGTCACAGCTCCTACCATCTCCCTTCTACTCCTCTGCCGCCACCAAACCCTATCAGAGAAGCCTGGCATCCCCCTGATTGGCAGTGGAGGGACTGCCACCTGCTCCCTCGAGCCCTGCGTCCTGGGCACAGGAGTCCCCAGGGGACTGGGAGGGGAGGGCAGGCAGCCTTCAGCACCCTGTTTGCTCACTCTGAGGCCACCTGCTTTCTTTCAGATCGCCTTTGAGCACCAGAGCAGGAGCCACCCAACAGCTGGCAGTGATACAACAGCTCTCCTCTGAGAACAGAGCCGTGCGTTCTGGCCTGCCTTCCTCAGCTTTGTGCAAAATAAAAGCTACTCCTTTGGTCCGCTCTGTGTCTGCTGACAGTGACCCCTGTAGCCACAGCCCCTTCTCCATCTGCTCCCATGCGCTGAGGCTCACACCCCCTGCAGGCTCAGACCTGTACTTCCGCCCTCCTTATTTATAGGGGTGGACAGGGCAGGAGTTAGTTCAAGAGGTGAGGCACCTGAGGCGCAGAATCGTTAAGGCAACACAGTGGAAGGGCCCTTTGAGTAAACTTGTTACTCAAAATGTGGCTGTAGGTGAACAACAGGGGTGTCACCTGGGAGCTTATCAAAAATGCAGAATTCGGGGCCCTGCCCAGACCTCCTGAATCAGAATCTACATTTTAATGAGATCCCCAGGGAATCTGTGTGCACATTAAAGTTTTAAAAAATGTTTCTGTTGAGATAAAATTTTAACCACTTAAAACAGTACAAATTCAGTGGGTTCATAATGTGTAGTCATCACCACCTTCTAATTCCAGAAATTTTCATCACCCCCAAAAGAAACCCTGTACCATTAAGCAGTCACTTCCCATTCCCCCTCCCATCCTCCCTTGGAAACCACTAATATTTCTTTCTCTGTGGACTTGCCTATGCTGGACATTTCATATAAATGTAATCATACAAAAGTCAGACACAAAGCCTTTTGTGTTTTAACTTTTTTTCGCTTAGCATAATGTTTTCAAGGTTCGTCCATGTTGTAGCGTATATCAGTACTTTGTTCCTGTTTATGGCTGAATAATAATATTCCATTTTATGGATGTATCACAATTTATTCATCCATTCATCAAATCAGTGGATATTTGGGTTGTTTGCACCTTTTGGCTATTATGAATAATCCTATGAACATTCATGTATAAGTTTGTGTGGATATATGTTTTCATTTCTCTCGGGTCTATAATTAAGGATGAAATTGCTGAGTCAAATAGTAACCCTATGTTAAGTTTTTGAAGAACAACCAAACTGTTTTTGCATAGCAACTGTACCAGTTTACATTCCTACCAGCAATGTATATATAAGGTTTTCAATTTTTCCTTATCCTCCCCTACACATCTTATTGATTATAGGCATCACACTAGGTGTGAAGTGGTTATCTCGTGGTTTTAAGTTGCATTTACCTAATGACTAGTGATGCTGAGCATCTTTTCATGTGTTTGTCGGCCACTTGTATGTCTTTTCTGGAGGAAGGTCTATTCAAATCCTTTGCCCGTTTTAAAAACTAGGTTGTCTTTTTGCTGTTGAGTTGTAAGAGTTCTTTATGTATTGTGGATACTAGGTTTTTATCAGATATGATTTACAAATGTTTTCTCTCATATTCTGGGTTGTCTTTTTATTTTCTTTATAGTGTCCTTTGAAACAACAGTTTTGATGAAATCCAATTTATCTTTGTTTTGTTCCTTCTTGTTTTGGTGTCATATCTAAGAATCCACTGCCACATCCAAGGTTATGAATCATTTAATCCTGTCTTCTAAGATTTTTATAGCTTTAGCTCTTATATTTGGTTTTTTAAATCTATTTTAGGTTAATGTTTGTACGTGGTGCGAGGTGGGGATTCAGCTTCATTACTTGCACTTAGTTGAATATTCTTTCCCCACTGAACAGTCCTTGGCACCCTGTCAAAAATCAATCGAGCATAACGTTTAGGTTTACTTCTCAATTCTATCCCATGGTTCTGTATGTCTGTCTTTATGCCAGTATCACACTGTTTGAATTACTATAGCTTTGTGGTAAGTTTTAAAATTAAGTATGAGTTCCCTGACTTTTTTGTTCTTTTCCAAGACTGTTCTGGCTATTTGAGGAACAGTTCCTTGCAATTCCATATGAATTTTAGGATCAGCCTGTCCACATCAGCAAAAGGCAGTTGGAATTTTGATATGGATTAGATTGAATCTGTAGATCAATTTTTAGAGTATTGCCATTTCCACAATACTAAGTCTTCCAATCCATGAGCACAGGATGTTTTGTATTTTTCAGTGTAAAGTCTTACACCACCTTGGTTAAATTTATCCTTATTTTATTCCTTTTGCAATGATTGTAAATGGAATTGTTTTCTTAATTTTACTTTCAGATTGTTCATTGCTAGGTGCATGGATATATAAACGACTTTTTTGGTTGATCACATATCCTATCCTGCAACTTTGCTGAATTCGTTTACTAGCTCTAATGGGCTTTGTGTGGATATTTTAGGATTTTCTATATATAAGATTATGTAATCTGTGAATAGAGTTTTACTTCTTACTTTCCAATCTGGATGCCTTTTCTTTCTTTTTCTTGCCTAATTACCCTGGCTATTAACTTTCAATACAATGTTGAGTAGTAGTGGCAATAGCAGACATCTTTGTCTTGTTCTTGATCTCAAAGAAAAGCTTTTATTTTTTCACCATTGGGTATGCTTTTTTTGTAGATGCCCTTTATTTTAGGTTGATAGATTTTCCTTCTGTTTTTAGTTTCTTAGGTTTATTATTATTATGTGTGAAAAGATGTTGGGTTTTCTCAAATGCTTTTCCTGCATCAATTGAGATCATCATGTAGTTTCTATCCCCCTTCATTCTGTCAATATGTATTACATGGATTTATTTTTTACATATTGAATGCTCCTTGTATTCCTTTGATAAATCCCACTTGTTCATGCTGGATAATCCTTATAATATACTGCTAGATTCAGTCTGATAGTATTTCACTGAGGTATTTTGCACATTTCTTGTGGCTTTGGTATCAGGGTAATACTGGTCTCACAGAATGAGTTAGGAAGTGTTTCCCCCTCTATTTGGGGGGGAAGAGTTTGAGAAGGATTTGTGTTACTTTTTCTGTAAATGTTTGATAGAATTCACCAGCGAAGTCTCCTGGTTCTGGATTTTTCCTCGTTGGGAGTTTTTGATTACTGATCTCTTCTTATAGGTCTATTCAGACTTTCTATTTCTTCTTGAGTCAAATTTCAGACTTTGTGTGTTTCTAGGAATTTCCCCATTTCATCTAGGTTATCTAATATGTTGGCATACAGTTGTTAACAGTATTTTCTTATAATCCTTTTACTTCTCTGAAGCTGTTAGTAATGTCCTTTCATTTCTGGTTTTAGTAATTGAGTCTCCTCTCTCCTTTTTCTGTCAGTCTAAAGGTTTGTTAATTTTGTTGATCTTTTTGAAGAAGCTTTTGTTTCGTTGATTCTATTGTTTTTCTAGTCTCTATTTTGCTTATCTGCACTCTAATCTTTATTAATTCCTTCTTTCTGGTTGCTTTGGGTTTAGTTTGCTCTTCTTTTTCTAATTCCTTAAAGTGGGAGGTTAGGCTACTGATTTGAGATTTTTTTTTCTTTTTTAATGTAGGCATTTACAGCTATAGATTTCCCTCTGAGCACTGCTTTCACTGCGTTTTGGGCTTTCACTTTAATTAATCTCAAAGTATTTCTTAATTTCTCATTTCTTTAACTCATTGTTCTTTTTAAGTATGTTTAGTTTTCACCTACTTGTAAAATTTCCAGACTTCCTCCTGATATTTTAAATTTCATTCCATTGTGGTCACAGAAGATACTCTGTATGGTTTGAATCTTCTAAAATTTATTTAGATTCTTTTGTGGTCTATCTGTGGAGAATTTTCCATGTGCACTTAAGAAGAATGCATATTCTCTTGTTGGGTGGACAGTTCTATATATGTCTGTTAGGTCTAGTTGATTTATAGTGCTGTTCAAGTTTTCTGTTTCCTTGTTTATCTTTTGTCTAATTATTCTATCCAATAGGGAAAGTGAAGTGTTGAAGTCTCCAACTATTATTGTTGGACTATTTCTCCCTTCAATTGTCAGTCTGTTTCAAACTTTCTGGGGATCTATTGTTAGACGCATATATGTTTATAATTGTTATATTTTGATGGGTTAACCATTTTATTAGGATATAATGTCCTTTGCCAATCTCTGCCTCTTAATTGGAGCATTTACTCCATTTATATTTAAAGTAATTACTAATAAAGACTTGTACCATTTTGTTATTTGTTTTCGATGTCATAATTTTTGGGCTCCTTAATTCCTCCATTATTGCCACATTTTATGTTAGATGGTTTCAAGTGTACCACTTGATTCCTTCTCCTTTCCTTTACTATCTTTGTTATTTTCTGGGATTACATTAACATCTTAATTTATAAGTCCAGTTTGAATTAATACCAAGTTTCAATAGTATACAAAAGCTTTGTCTCTCTCTATATGTCCTATATAGCTCCATCACCTGCCTTTAATGTTGTGATTGTCACAAATCACGTCCTTATACATTTTGTGCCCATCAACACAGTGTTATAATCCTTGTTTGGCGCAATTATCTTTTAAATCATATAGGAAAAAAAGAAGTGCTACACACCAAAAAATATATATTAATACTGATGTTTATATTTACCTATGTTTATCTTTACCAATGTTTCATCTCTTCAGGTGGATTTGAATTACTGTCCAGTATCCTTTCATTTCAGTTTGAAGGACTTTCTTTAGCATTTCTCACATGAAAGGTCTACTAGCAAGAAGCTGTCTCAATTTTTGTTCACCCAGGAATGTGTTAACTTCTTCATTTTTGAAGACTATTTTGCCAGATATAGGATTCCTGTTAACATTTCTTTTTGCAGCACACTGAATATGTCATCCCACTGCCTTCTAGCCTTTATGGTATCTGACAAGAGATCAGATGTTAATCTTATTGAAGATCCCTTGTATGTGACAAGTCAGTTCTCTATTGCTGACTTCAGGATTCCTTGTTTTTCAACAGTTTGGTTATAATGTGTCTCAAAGTGGATCTTCTTAAAAATACTACTTATGGTTCACTGAGCTCCTGAGATGTGTGGATTAATGTCTTTCATCAAATTTCTAAGCTTTCAGCCACTGTTTCTTCAAGTATTTCTGCTTTCTCTCTTCTCTTCTATGACCTCCATTATGTGTACGTTGGTATACTTCATGATGATGTCCCACAGGTCTTAGGCTCTGTT